CATAATTAGGCCATCCATGATCTTCTTCATCTCTTTCCACTTTGCTGGGGCTATTCTTTTTGGAGGGATCTTTATTGGATGGTGATTGCCTTTGTTTATTCTGTGCTCCACAAGGTCTGTGCAGCCGAGATCATGATCTCCTTTCGAAAAGACGTATGCATAATTCGCCAACTTTCCCTAACCTAAAGAGCCTGTGATGATGACAAATGGACTATACTCTTCTTATACAGGTCAGTTAAATGTTCTGGGAGAGGACGCCCTTTCTTTGTGGTCAAATTTCTTACCTTAACATTGACTGGATCTACCTCCTAGCACACACTTCACATTTAGAGAAATTTGCCACTGTTATGGGTACTACTTGATGACCTGCCACAAGTGACCTTCCAATCTTCACATCTGCTGACCTTGATGGGTCTTCTACTGCTTCCACAAGTATCGAGCTTCCTTGGGGATGTTCATTTATTCTACACCAAATTATCTTCTCTGACATAGGGGTATTGTAGTTGACTTAAGTGCTGTGACATGCAAATCAACAGATACAACAACACTTACCAGAATTTGGCCTTTGTTGTTCTCAATCGTCATCTTATCGAAGTTAACTACACACTTCCTCAGTAGTAAGTTGTCCAACCCTAGTATCCATTGGTCTTCAATGTCAGCCAAGTATACTTTCTGTCTGTTCTTCATGCCCATGAGCTCAATAGTTACCCACAACCTTGCATAATGTCCTGTCACACCACAGAGTTTCTGTATGGCTTCTGGTACTCCTTTGTGATCTAGCACCTTGGTGCTCACAAGGGTTTGCTGAGATGCAGAATCTATGATAAAGTTGCACTTTTGGCCATCCAGCTTTCCTGTCACGTAGACACTATGTGTGCTTGCCATTTTACACTTAGCTGTTGGGACTTTCACAATGAGGGTTAGTGGGCATCCCTCAGCACCAACCACTACTGGTTTCCCCGAAGCTGACTTATTGGTAGTATTCTTCTTACACTGGCTCTTCATATGTCCTTGCTCTACACAGTTCCAACAACCTTTCTGGGTAGCAGCCTTTCCTGCCGTGGCATCTTCCCTGTGTGATATTTTACAATAATTAAAAAAAAATTAGTCAGATAACTAGTTACATGGAATGGAAGAAGTAAACCAAAACGAATAGGTGTTTCAAAATATTTCATTGCTACTTATAAATTATTTAATATCAGTACATAAAGCTACAGGCAGTACAACTTCATCACTAATGATTGAAAGAAAATTTACAGTGCCACGGGGCCTTCTGTTCTAACATTCAGAGGTTAGTCACTCAGCAGGGTTTTACACAAAATATACAGAGAGACTAGCGAACACCATTGATGTTATACATAACTTTATCTGGGAAATTTTTTATCAGCTAATGATAAAATGAAAAGTTGCTGTGATGCTAATAGTAACAAGACTGGATTTCGTCGAGGTGATATAATGATCCAAATGACCCAAAAAATCCGTCATATCAATATATCACGTTATAAGAGTACTCCATTAACTCTTTTTAACAACATTTTGTTTTGACTTTTAATCTTTTATTCAAATACTTTTCTCATTCAAAGGTTTATACTGTTACGACAGCGGAAGTCACGTGACGCTAGTAACACGTTATGATATTCTAGAAGGATCATGTCTGTTCGTGGCAACTCTGGTCTTTTCAACGCGGCCTCTATTCTTGTATATAAGTGCACCAGATAAAGCGAAATTAATTAATCGGAAGAAGAGAATTGCAGACAGACAGAGACGGACAATTGAGTCAAGCGCGGTAGTGACCATAAGTAAAGTGCGTGAATCGTTGTGAATTATAGCGTGTGTTGAAGTTTAATGACTGTGGAGATTAAGTGTATCGCAAAGTTGAGTTGAGAAAGACTAAACTATTTTTATTTAAGAAAGGCTTGTATCGCTGAAGTTTCTGGGAAAGAATTTTTACGGAAAATTAACAAACGAACAGAGACGTAACAATACACTGAACAGGAATACTATACTGTTCTAAACAATTAAGAAATAATCGAAGTTTTCTATATTCTCTCTGAATATATAACTACTGTTATCAAATGGTGTCAATGGCACCCCCCCTATTATTCGTTCATTTTGCATGGCCTTCTTAAATAAGAAAATGTAAATGTAATTGCTATAGATTTTGTTTAATACATTTATAACTATAACCAATACAGGATCCAGCTTTTCTTAACTATAGGAACAAATAAGACATAAATTGGGATCAAATCTAAAATACATCTGGAATTAAAATGAGGAACTACATTAACTTGAGGTGGGCAACGGTATTTCAGAGGAACCTAGTTCTCTGGCTCCTTCGCAAGTATTTGTCCTGATTGTAAAAGACTGTGGAAAAGCACATTGAGTCAATTAGTTAATGTGAATTGACAAATTTTTTTCACATCCAATAGTTTTGAACATTGTCGATAGATGGCAAAGATTGGGAAAAACTTTTTAAGTTTAATATCATTTCCTGATTGCCTAGAAGACTTTAGGCCATTACATTTCAAATAGCTAGTGGTGAAACATCGAATTATTGTCATTTCCCTCAGATATTAGTATTATTTTTGAATTAATTATGGCAAGTACAGTAGATTTGAGTAAGATATTCAGGTGAGTTTTGTTGATAATTTACTTCTTTAACAGTATTTTAATCAATTGCAAAAATCAGTTAAAAACTTGTATTATTAATATTAATTATTATAACTTTTAGTTTTAAGTTGAGACAAATTATTAAATTTCCACTTGAAGCTTTGAAAGTGAAACTGAAAGGTAACTTTTCGTAACTCGGACAACTATTACTAGCAGTAGCAGTATTAAGACTGTTTCATTTCTTTTTAAAAACTTATTTTATGATTAGACATGTAATGATGTATGAAACTGAAACTAATTTCAAAAACAATAGAGTGAATAAAGCCCTTGTAAGTAATTATTTTATAATCAATGAATTTCATTAGTTCGAACAAGGCGAACATAGACATGATGGTTTCATGTTATTTATTATATAATTATTAAATAATTACAGTCTGTAAACACTTGGATATGGTAATTCGTAATAATCTCTTTTTTACTCATTTAGTTCCATTGCTGTGTTCATGGACAAATTACTTAGTTTCCAGTGTCAGAATTAATTTATACGAAGATACACAATAAAAACAAAAACTTATTTTAACATTTCGTTGCACTGTTGAAACTAGATAAACTTTGTGAAGTTTAAAGGGGAATACCCCTAATTCATGGTGATACAAAATTCCAAACAGCTATGTCCAGAACTTTATCATCAACTTAATCTAGTTTCCCCAGCATAAGAGTAATTAATGTTGTGAAATTAATATACATGACCTACAAAATTTAAGACTAAACAACTTAGCCCATTCCACCAAGTACTGTAGTTGAAATCTCTAGTACATCATCTTCAGCACAGTTTGCAATGCCTATTGATGCATACTTAATGAAATAAGTAAATATGTTATCAGTTATGTTAATAAGAATGAGAAATAGCAAAAGATCTAGTACAGATCCTTGAGGTGTACCGCTAGTAGCATTAATCCACTGACTTCATCCCATTAATAACAGTCTTATGCTTTCTACCACCTACCTAACTCTGAATCCATTTAACTAATTTCCTGCTCCAATAAAAGCTTTGTAAAGTCTAAGTATACTAAGTTAACTGAATTTCCATATCTGGATTGAATGTACCATTTTCAAAAAAATTTATAAAATTTGTAAGACTTGACCTACCCATTCTAAATCTATGTTGACCTTCTATGATTATGAAACTAGGCTAAATGCTCTTGTACTGTTGTAGAGTGTTTTTACTAATTTCCCAACAACTGAAGTGAGTCAAGTAAAACTAACTGGTTGATAATTACTTGGATATGTACCTTTCCATTTAAACAAATTGGTGTGACATTCGTGAACCTGCAGTCTTTCAGCACCTTGACATTAGTAAAGGATTAAATCAAAATTAAGGTTAGTATATTTTGTTTCCTTCATTATTCTAAAATAAATAGTATCTGGCCAAAGTTTCTCATCTTCCTTCAATTTTACAATCATGATTCTTTTCAGTTCTGGCTTAACCCTTTCATTGCAGCTGGGAAATATACATCACAGCTGACAGGAGTGTCAAGAGCCAGCACTAGCCCTGGGACAAACATCATCGCCAAGCCCCCTTTCTCTTTCTTAACAATTTAAAGGACTTATTAAAAAAGGTCCTAAATTAGGACAGCAATGAGTTCATAAATTAGGCAAAATCATAGCAGCAGCCATTTTGAGCTTGCAGTGTAAGTGTAAAAAAGTTAATAAAGTAACAACAAATATCTATGATGTAACAAATATATATTAATTATTACTGAAATTATTATTTCAATCATTCTTAATGTAACAAGCATCTGTATGCAAATAAAAACCAAAAACATTGCTTTTTGTGTTTAAATGAAGATGTAGCCTTAAGGTGCTTTATGGCATAACCAGATTTCGTTTGCCTGGGCCCCTGGCCAGTTAACCCCTTGCCCCCCTGTAGGTGGGCCTGCCAGCCACAGTGAATGGTTTACTCCTGGCATTATTCAAAAGAACAGCTGTACTAATGGAATCCAGGGTACATCTTTCCTAGAAAAACTAATCAGACAAAAGCATTTAGATGTTTAGCCACATCATTATCACCAACTAAAACCCTCCCAGCTCCCATTTTAACATATTTCTCTTGATATTGTTATATTTGTAATGAGAATATAAGTGATGAGATGATTTTTGAATGATAATAACAAATCTGCAATTTTTGTATTTAATATTTTACTAATGCATATGTTTATACTCAGTTATATTGATGAACACCAGCAACAGTATATAGAAACACTAAAGAAAGCTGTGGCAATCAGAAGTGTATCAGCATGGCCAGAAACCAGAGAAGAAATAATAAAAATGGTGAAATGGGTAGCTGAGGTAGGGTTTTTTTCAGTTATTCTGTTTTTCATTTGTAGTTTTAAATCTCATGATTATATTTAACACTTTAACTTACAAGTAACTATGCTCCTGTAACTGTTTTTAGTGGTAGTGTACTTATATTATTGTAGTATATCTTCTTTTTTATAAATCTAAGATTCAAAATTTACTATTAAGGTTACACATATAGTAATTTAAGTGTTGAAATATATATGTTAGATTTGGCTTTTTATTCCTAATACATATAAAACTCATTAACTAAGACAAAGAGATTTCTTCATTATCTTTCCATCTCTCTTTCCCATAACTGGATTATATGGAAAACATGATCATACCTAACCTATATAAAAGCCAATGTGTATCATGTCATGCTTGATTTCTCAAAATAGAAGTCATAAAGGCAAAATGCATTTATCTAGATAGAATAGTTCGATTACTGTCTGCCATGGGTGTGTGTGTGCCATGAAGACTTAAGTGTAGTGAGTGTTGGTGTAATAAACCTAAAGTAAAGACATAATGTGGGATTACCTAGCATAGAGCTAGGTGCATAGAATTAATCATGAAAGTAAAAATATCAATTCAATTTTAAACTTAAATCGTTTCTGAATTAAGCTGGAGAATTAAGCTTCTTTGTGGAGAATAATCCTTGAAGCACATTATGGTTGCATCAATAAAATAAGCTTCCAGTCCCAGTAAAAGAGTCTTAACATCTGATGTAACAAGGTTTGTTATTTATTATCACCAGCTTCTTGACCAGTATATAGCATTACTTAATTCAAATATTGCAAAATTCGGTTTAGGAAAATGAAATAAGAAAACACTGTAAATGTAAAACTAGGGAAATAAAGCTTGATAATAATGCCAAACAGTGCAGTTAGAGTACCAGTGTGTTTGGTGCAACAAGAGTAGTGTATTTGTTAAAACAAATACTTAAGAGTTGAAATATACCTGAAACTTCTGAAAATGAGATGAACAACATAAAATTAAATTGGTAAAATGGAATGTCAAAATATGTATGCAGTTTTGTTTGGCCAAAATAATTTAATATACAAAATTTTAGTGAACAGAGTTGTATTGCTGCTATGTGATTTTCAGCCAATGGTTCATGAAAATGTTGAAAGTGGTACACAAAGCAATTGTAAGAAATAAGTATAACCTAAAATATTGTTTTAAATGTTTCATATTTCATTGACAAAAACAATAAAAATACATTAATAAATGACTTGCAGTTGTCAAGTCACTGATTGATCTGTCTAATATTACAATGTAAGTATTTTGCTTAGTAGTACATAGAAAGTTTTGATACACAAAATTTGAAAATCATCACTATGAAATAAGAAAAAAGAAACAATATAACCTCCACCCTAAAGGTAGATGCTAATAAGTGAAATTAATTAAAAAAAGAAGTAATTTTGCCAGACTTGGCTGATTCATACTGTCATCCTAAGTTATGTGTAATACACATATTACTGGTGTGGTGCATGTACTGATACATGTGTTTTTGAAAGTCACTTCCAATGAAAAATTGTATATACAAATAGTAGTCAGTGTTCCTACATAAAATAGATTCCAAAACAAGGATGGGAATTTAAGTGCAACAGATATAAGTACTGCCATTAAAAGCTTCATTTTGCATATTATTAAACCTAAATGTGTTATTTTTATAAGGTCTAAAGGCACTTTGGTTTTATTGGTAGCCCAAACATTCCTGCATGAAATAGGCCTGTAATAATATTTTGGTGAGCCATTATTATAAATCATTAACTAATTACCAGATTTGATTTCATTATTATTTCAAAGCAGAAGGAGTATGTATTGTAAATGCTTATACATTATGGGTATTTATAAAGAGTAGGAAGAAGAGACATTAAAATATGTAGTATTAATAGGGTGTTTTGTTTTTATCTCAGCATTTTTTTGATTGGTTGATTAAAAAAATAAATTATTAAAACACAAATTTGCACTGAAGTTATCTGAACAGTTGCATACATTCAAGTCATTGAACTTTTAACCAGTTAGTGTTCTGAAAAAACCTGTTAGGTTCTACATTACTTGAAACAGTAACTTGTCTGAAAGTGAGATAAGCTTATTTGGACTTAGATGTAGTAGCTTTTCGAAATGTATACTTGAGATGTACTGTTCAAAATGTATAACACTGTGTTTGTGACAGAATAGCTTACAGTTAAATTAAGGACATGATCAAAGGGCAAAGATTGATTAATGTAGTTTGTTTAATATGACATTATCAGAATTTTTTTTATCTTGTTAAGTGATAGGGGTAGAAAACAATGAAGTTGACTACTGTATGAGAATCATTGTAAAGGTAAGAATACTGATAAAGATTCAAGGTTAAAAGCTGTAAACCATGTACTGAACAAAGTTCAGACTGACAAGTTCAGCACGGACTAGGTCCCTGGGGCTGACCTTGTAACCATTTTGTGCTTGTTATAGTTTTCATGCTATAACTTTTAAATTAGTAAGTGTATGTTCACAAAATT